TCAGGTGAGATCTGAGCTTGTGGCCAACAGTGACGCTATCCTTCCAAAGCCTTTGGATTGAACTCAAGTTGGAAATCTCTGGACATGATTAAACATTCTCCTTTGGGTGTCTGTAGGTATTGTTAATAGTTTTGAATGATGTTTTGTAAGCTTGAATATAATTTGCAATTTTCTTCATAAAAAGCAGCATGAGGTATAATACCTCTGAACGTGTATTAGAATTCCAACAACCTGGAGAGGGCTGGAGAGAGTGCCCCCCTTAGAGGAGAGGAAAGGGCTAGGCCAGAGTAGATAAAAAAAAGGTCCTTTCTGGTCCAACTAAAATGTGGTCACAGTGAACCAGTACTAAACACTGTCTGGTTATTTGAGAAAGAAATTATTTCATTCCACCAAGAGAAATGTAAAAGAACTTGAGACTTTTTTTTTAAAGGTTCTGATTGCATGATTTTAAGAAATGTTTATAATTATTGAAAGTATCCCATCAATGAACAATATGCTTGACGACAAATGCAACGACTAGAGAGCTAGCTACAGTTTCTTTCCATACAAATTACTTAGAAACACAAAGTACTCTGCAATCATTTGCCTACTTGACTGATCAGATTTTATTTTTCTTATTTCAGTGTTAGAAACCTTGAAGTGTTTGTAACACTAATCTAAAAAGCAGGAACCAGTCAGAGACAAAGAAAAAAGGTAAGCTAATTAGGGTCCTAAGACCTCAAGTACCATATTGAACTTTTCCGGTCCAAACAGATTTCTTGAAGGACACACACGCAATGGTATCATTATACATACTGGTAAACAGAATCTTTTAACACCTTTGGAATTCCTCTGTATGCTTTTTGAGCTTCAAATTAAGAAAATGATTATTTCTGGATAGTTTATGTTCTTTAAATTAAGAAAATGATTCTGTATACTTTTCATGCTCTTCAAATTACGAGAAACACTCACATGTTTAGGCAGCTTTGGCATGAACATTTCTAAGAAGGGGCAAAAGCAACTACCAGTGAATGATCACGAAGAGATTGGGGACAACCATTGAGTGTCCACTATGCTCTCTGTGAAAAGCTCTGCCATGAAATCTAGTTTTCTTACTTTGAAATCTACAAAGTAGAAGATTTGGATCCTCTCTAAGATGAAAACTTTCAGTTTGTTCAATTTCTTGACTCCACCAAATATACAGATTAAAAAGTTTAGGAACAGAGCCTGACCTCATAAGCTTCACCTCACATTTTAGCTAAAGGGGACCTAATCTTATCTCACTGAAGAGTTTTTTCTCTTATCCAATTATGTGCTTCCTTTGGGCACCCACTTCTGCCTCATTTATCTTTGTCAGATGCCTGTTCATTATCAGATGGTACTTCAGGATACCATCTGTTGAGCAGACCAGTAAGAGGTGAATGTTAATAAAATCCTAGGTGAAGCAGCTATTATGCACATTTTAAAATCACACACTTTAATAATTCAAAATACTGATAGCTGCTCCCATTGTTACAATAGCCCCAGAAGTCAATCTGGAAATGGGAGCTTCATTTGGCCTATTTGCTAACCTCAAGTCCTCTATAACTGGGCCTCTGTCATAGTTCTACGGCTAAGAAACAAAGGATTCTACCACTCAGCTGTGTCAACAGCAGGAACTGACACAGAAGGGGAGAAGATTCAATTCAAAATGTAGATGATTTTTTTTAATGTAAATAATATGGACGAGCCAGTGGTAGTCTGGTTTTATCATGTTTTTGGATAAACATACAAACACGTACATAAGTTACACATCTTTATATCATTTATTGCCTCAAGGCCAACTTCTACTTGATTTTCTACTTTGTCTCTCACTAAGAGATCTAGAAAAGCTAGAACACTGGAGAATCACTTACCTAATACTCCTTCCCACCTACCTTTTTATATTCTGGGATGGTTTGACTGAGACAAGGAGGAAGGAGGTATTACCACAGGCTAACATAATTAGGGAGAAACACCACTCTTACAAAACTATAGCTGAATTTACAAACTCCGCTTCCAGTGTTGTGGCCTGGCACGGGTAGAACATAATTTGTCTCACATATTTTTTTTTCTTCTCCCAGCTTCATCAGGCCACAATGTGAAGTTAAGAGTTAGAAAAAGGCCTTCACACTTAATTTTGATCAGGCAGAATGAACTCTTTGTTCTGATATGTATAATGCAACAAAACCTATAGATACATAGATGACTGTGTTATCAGCAATGATCAGTAAGGCTATGAGTCTTCCCAGTCTTCCTTCTATGAGATTTCTGGAAAAACAAAGCACAACATCAAATACTGATTTGTCTTCAGTAAGGGCAGGTTCGGCTTACTTCATTGTACAATGCTCTGAATCTTTGTAAGTTGATCTACCTGAAATATTTTTTGTTGTTGTTGTTAAAGAGTGTCTTATGATCAAAGCTTGAATAGGTAATGGTTCTCCGAATCATTTTACCCACAGAGAGGACAAGTCACCAATATTTAAAGCAAGGTAGAAGCAAGCCACTCTTGGATTCCATCTTTCAGTTGATTAGAAACGTTACCTTTGCAACCATTTGTCAGTCACAACCTATTTGACATAGCCTTTTTTATATCTGATTTTTAGCAGATGGTCGTACAGCTAACAAGTACATTTGGTGGTTTATAATTGGTATTGGTATTACAAACCTGAATCATCTACAAATTCCATGTCTATTGCAAAATTCCTACTTTGTGAAAATCTGCAAGCAGAATTAGCAGCATCTTTCTTTAAACAAGCAAGATATCACATATCCTGGTGTTTCCAATTATTTGACTATGGACCATGCCAGAAGAACACTAGTTTGTAAATAGTTGGGGACAGATTTAATATCATAGTGAGAAGTGTGTGTGTGGGGGCATTCTATAAATATTAACTCACAGGTTGCAAATTCTGGGCACAAAAGTGTCATTTTATTTTTTCCAAGGCTGAACTGAGTTGAATGGAAGGTTTCTGAGGCTAGTGGCTGCAGGACAGTGCTTTGTTGGTGTCCTCACTCTGCCCTGCTCCATGCATTCATATTAATGCAATTTTACTTATAATTCCCCTTGAAAATGATAGTCTCTTTGAAATATGAACTAGGCATTTTAAGTATCTTTTTATTTTTTACTTATTAAAAGTGAGGAAAAAAGAGAAAATCTTTGGTTTATATGTTTGGTTTTCTTAGCTGTAACACTGCCAGGCTTTGGCAACACAATTCTTTAGTTATCTCTCTCAATACTGATATTACCAAGGTCCCATTGACTTTCAGGTGTTTTTCCTGAAAATAGTTCCATTTAGGGGAAAAAGGAATTCCTGTACTTGGAGTGTGACACTGCTGGTTTTCTAGGAATAGGGACGCTATTCTGATGCACAGCAATCGTCGAGGAGAACTGCCCTGTGGGGTTTCCAAGGTTCTAATCTTTATGGACGCAGATGGCCACATTTTCCCTCCCTCAGAGTGGCTGAGAGGTTTGAATCTTGTAAGCCAGCCCTTTGGTTAGCAGATGAGTGCTTTAACTATGGTGCTACCACAGGTCCTTAAGGGGAAACCCAAAGGCAGTCTTTCTCTTGTTGACTTGACTTTGCTCAGCAAAATAAAAACATTAAGAACAGAAACTAAAGAAGGTTCTTTCTTGAAAGCTAAACACAACAAAGTGTTTAATGGTGTGGGTGATCCTTGCCAACTCTTGATAATCTCTACTTTCTGTCCCAGATACAGTTAATTTCTTCTACAAATGCAATGGATTCTGGTAGCCTCGTCTGCAGGCAGTTGTGCCGGTAACTCAAAGGTGTGGTGCCTTGCTGCCTTCCAAATGCACCAGCAGCTCCTCAGAAGAAAGATGGGCAGTCTCCTTTCATGATATTTACAGTCTCCGAAAACCTACTGGAGGGTCAGTTATGAGCTGGTTCCAACTCAGTGGCTGTGTGGGAGGGAGAAGGACATGGCAGATAACTGCTAATTGCAAGGGTGGTGGTGAAACCCAGTAGAGATCCACTGGTCTCTTTATGTTATTCTCAGTTCACAGGGACAAATGACCAACATTAGAGCGTATTCTTCCCTTGCTATTATGAGCTTGGACAGCTGTCTGTTTTCAGAGCCACAGCGCTGACCTCATCATGTTGTGTGCTGGTGAGCTGATTCCAACTCACAGTAACTACAGAAGCCAAACCCACTGCCATGGAGTCAGTTTCCACTCAGCAGCTCTTCACCAGGATTCCAAGGTAGGAAATCTTTTGGGAGGAGACTTCTCATCTTTTTCTTCCTGAGGGGCTGGTGGGCCTGAACGACGGGGCTTTCATTTAGCAGTCTAACATGAATGCACTATGTCACTTGAGCTCCTAGGAACCTACCAGGTAGACAATCTCCAACTAGTATCCCTGCTAACAGTCACTGAAGAAATCTTGGCTCTGTGTACCAGAAATGAAGACTATGCCAAAGCAATTTCACGTAAGATGAATTTTTAAAAAACATCTTCCAATCACCAGGCTCTTTAACTTGAACTGACAATTTTAAAAGCTACTTCTTCCTGTCCAAACCCTACAGTGGGAGAATGGTCACTGAGACTGGCTAGGCAATTTCAAACTGGGCACAGTGACAAAGAAAGCAAACCTCCTTGGAGATGTATGAGAATTCCGTTCTGAGTTTGACTTGCTCTACGTGACAAATGAAGCCGATGTTCAAGCCATAGCAAGAGAAAGGGGGGAAGCCGATGGCGCATCTCCCTCACAGTCAGGAACTCAGAGCGTAAAAGGAGTCATGGAATTCCCTTTGCCCACGGATCCAATTTATCAACACACAAAATAAATAATATTCGAAGACAGTACAAATGCAAATACTGTTCCTTTGTATCAACTACATACGGCATGCCTACGTAGAGAAGAGCGTGGTTTCACAGACAGAACATAATGGCAGTGCACTATCAAAATGCTTTGATAATCCTAAATTTTGTTTCTTGGTGCAGAGAGATTATGAAAGGAACTGCATTTGCCACTTATTCAATACTTCCAGGAACAAATAGTTCACTTTATTCAGGACTTAATGTTTTGAGTAATCAATCATCCACAGTGCAAGGGCCAGTCAGGAGGTACCCGTTGGTTCCACTGGTCCCATTGGTGGTGGTTGCAGCGTGGGGGTTTTTCCCTGGAGGTTCTGAGTCCTCCTCATCTGAGCTGGACTCAATGTCACTTCGTTCATCCTTGGACACCTGGGGAATACACAGAAGGTGAATGCAGGCAGCTCCTAATGTATGAGCAAGGTGTGCCAAGTGCAGAAGCACACGTTACGTGACACGGCGTAAACACCTCTAAATGTTAAGAAATAAAAGTAGAAGAGTAGAAGTGGGTTGTCACATAAATGCATTCCCCTTCACTAGGGAGAAATGATTTGAACCACAAAAGTTATTTATGAAGGAATTTTGGGAGGTTTAGGTATCAAGAGAGTTCTAAGCTTGTTAATTTCTTATCTTCCGATATTAAGAACGTACTAGACCACGTAGCATATGTTTACCTGAACTACCGGGATAATATGATAAGAACTTGGTACAAATGGAAGAATTTACTTTCTGATGATCACATTTTCCTTCAAAATCACTTAAGTTTTTCCTATTCTTGATTAATTCTATTTATGGAAAGATTCACTATCTTAAAGTACTAAAAAAAAATCGTTCCTATTTGATGTTCTAATGTGTTGGTTTCCTTTACTGTTTGGTAACATTAAAGAGAAATTTGGATCACATAACTGGTGGTAGCGGGAGAAATTTGGGGAACCTCTTGAATAAGGTTAGTCTTAAAATTATTTTCTGAGGAAAATCTACTGGCTGGATCACCACGACCTGGCTCCCATCATGCCAGGCTTCTTGAATCCTACATCCCGTCTCATTTTAAAATGAGGAGAGAAGGAAGACAATGTGCCAAAATATCGAGCTATACATTACCATCAAGGGTCAAATCATTCCTCTACCTGGTAGGAAAGCAATTTAGGAAGAAATTATTGGAATGCTCTACTGCTTTTAAAATGTTTACAGTTTGAACCACTTACTCTCTAAATCTAATTATGGCAAGCATTTTAACTTCGACCTGAGTCACTGAGTACCATTTATTTATTTTCTTAGTGGAGTGATATTAGGGACTAGAAGACAGTTTATATATACATCTTTCAAATCTTCTTGACTGTGATTCTCTGTGGGGTGGTCTGGAAAAGGTGGTACAACCTCCTGGGAGATACATCAGAAGTAATGGGCAGCTTTGCATATTGCATCTTTTTTCACCAGCAAACACCCTGGTCCCTACTTGAGAGTCCTAGAATCTACTTCCTTGAATCTAAAAAGTCACAATTCCGGCAGGATAAAGGCTCTTCACTCAGGTGGGGTAAGAGAGGGGAACTTAAAAGCTAAAAGTTATTGCTCCATCTCAATCAGAGCTAAGTACATATGGTGGCCTCACAACAGTGTCTCTTGAGATGAGGCTGAAGGCCCGTGGACTATCTCCAACAAGGTTTAGTTCTGAAAGCCCAAAATAACCACATTAAGAAGGCACTTCCATCCCCAAAACATGGATCACAAAGACGTCATGACAGTTAAATTCCACTATGTTTAGCAGTTTATTAATGATAAATTAAGTGGCTAGGAGAAAAGAAAACTCTATTTTTGGAGAGCAATTAATTTCCCTTTAGAGATTCAGTAAGATCATCTAACTTTACATTTGGGAAAAAATGTACTTATGTTCCCTTCAAAGCAAGGAACAAGTTAGAACATCATACAGTAATTCACAGGAAAACTGGACACGTCATCCATGTCTGGGATGAGTCTTACTATCATGGGTGAGGAACAATGGCAGGGGAAAAATGAATGGCTATTTGTCTGTAATGCCAAATGAACAAGCTAGAGAGAAGCTAATGTATCTGGTGGAAAGAGCAATGTAATAAGGCCTCACGTAATCTAATCCATGCTCCTTCAATCTGCAGTGTTATTATCTTACTGATGGTAGTAGACAAGGTCATTTCATTTGTATAAAAAAAAATTAATTTTTTACAGAGGAAAAATATGTCCATTTTCTAAACTACCACCTAAAAGAAATTTTAGCGTTTCAACAACGTGTTGACCAAACCAGTGTTGATTTATATAGGAAAAGAAGGGATAAAGAGGCCTCACACTACATGGCTAGACGTCCCGAGCCCACTTGTGGAAGATGTTACTGTGGTTCAGGGGAGATTGAGGACATTAAATGACTTGAGGATGCAGCAATATTATTCTTCTCCCAAAGCTGATTTTGTTTCTCTCACTTTACTTTGGACTATGAGTCCAACTATTAAACATCAATTAGAGAAACTGTTTTCATTTTCTGTGAGATCACGCAAAAGAACTCCTATAAAACAGGTCCCAGTACACTTGGGATCTGGTGGGTGTCATGTCTTAGGAAGAGCCTCCAAAATGCAGAAGATTTGACAAGAAAGTATGTGTGGAAACAAAAGAACCAGCATCTCCTTCCAACAGAGTAAGCAGCCCCCAGGACAGGGAGCCCAAGGGGTGGGAGAAACTTACATGTAAAGGGTTCCACTTCCCAGCCTTCCGGGGCAGCAGAAGCAAGAGAACAAACAATGAAAGTAAGACAATCTCAAGTCATAGAGAAGGATCTGGAAAAGTCACTGCTATCCACAGAGGAACTAAACTTGGGAAGGTTTTTATATATATGTATTTTTAATCTGACCAGGAATCCACTCTTAAGCAGAGATTTGACTAATTTTTATAGGTAAGAGTCATGGATGGATTAATTTTCCAGTTTGTTTAAATGGGCTTATCATACCAAGCAACCTTTCTTAGGAAGGGGAAGAAGTTAAGAAAATTCTCTTCAGTACAAGCATAATCTGAGATGGTCCAAGGGAGGCAGAGAAAAGGAGAGAAAACACATACACAAATAATGAATTTTCACCGAATCCAAATTTACAAATGCAGGTCCTTTGAGATCATGAGCTAAACAATGTTCAAGACTTTTTAGGGGAGCTCTGGTGGCCTAGTGGTAAGGAGCTGCAACTATAATCCCAGAGGTGCACGGTTCAAATCCACCAGATACTCTGCCGGGGAAGGAGGGACAATCTCCTCCTGTACCAGTCAGATCTGATTTGACGGTACACGCACAGAAAAATAATAAAATAAAAAAATTTAAAAAAAAGACTTTTAAAAAAGGAAAACTGGTCTGTGGTAAGTTGAATTACATTTTTAAGGAAAAAAGGGACCCGTTTTCATGAAATTTGAAACAATAAATTATGTCCCGATTGATACAGAAGAACTAAAAAGCAAATTTTTCAAGAAGATACTGAACGGAGTGCATTTGATCTTACCTTGCCTTTCGAAAAACACCTGCAAGCCATTTTTATGATCAAGTAAGACCAGAAGCAGTTCATCCCTTCTATTAGAAACAGCAGTAGATTGAAAACCCACCACGATGGGTAAGGTCCAACGATCTCCCAACTTTCAAATAATGTAGTGTTTAACACCCTGTGGGGAACAAGAAAGCAATTACTGACACCACATTTCACTTCGCTCTTAAGTAACTCCAGTTACTGCATGGAAGCACCAAGTTAGCAAATATCTCCCAGTTACTCGGCTCCTTCAAAGAGTCTTGCTGATACAGAAGAGCCTGAGTACTAACGTAAAAGGTTGGTGGTTCAAACTCATCAGTTGTTCTTTGTGAGAAAGATGTTGTAGCGTGCATCTGTAAAGATTTACAGCCTCTTTGTAAAGATTTACATAGGAAACCCCATTGGCTAATTCTATGCTGTCTTATGGGACACCATGAACTGAAATAAACTCAACAGCAATGTTCTACTCTCTTGAAGGAGGAGTTGACCAGGTATTTTGGGAAATTATAACTGAAATATTTTGCCTAGAAGCATAATATCAATTTGGATTCTGACTCAAGTTTTATACTCCCCTTCACTATTTTAATTTACTCTTTTTGGGGTTAGTCTTGACATTGCTTTTGAGCTTTCAAGCTCTTAGAGCCACCACTGGATTATATTACACTGTAAAATTAAAGGAAATAACACAATTAATTCCAGATACACGACAGTTAGGTGCTGTCAAGTTGACTAGAGCTCATAGTGACACTTTGAACAACAGGCAGAAACCTACATTTCCTCCTGCACCAGTTTTTTTCTCCATTTTTCCAGAAACATTAGTTAAGCACAAAGCATTGCCTAGTACAGTGTAACACACAATGAGAGTTAGAACATACTTGAAACCTAATTTTTGTCCTTAAGTAGCTTACCGTCAAATAGGGGAGCTGTTAACTGCAGTTGCTTGCAACTCATAGCGACCCTATGTACAACAGCCCTAAACCCGCTCTATCCTGTGCCACTCGCACTGTCTCTGACACTCCCATCCCGATTATCCCAGTCACCGAATCAATCCACCTCATAGAGGGTCTTCCCTTCCCGCGCTGTCCCTCCACCCTCCCAAGCATGATGTCCCTCTCCAAGGACCTGTCTCTCCTTACAATATGTTCAAAGTATGCCAGATGAAGCCTCAGAATCCTTGCCTCCAAGGAGCAGCCTGGTTTAACCCTTTCCAGGGTGAATCTGTTTATTTCTTGGCAGTCCATGGTACTCCCAACACTTTTCTTCAACACCACAGCTCAAAGGCATCAATTCTCCTTCTATCCTTCCTAGTCATTGTCGAACTCTCTGATGCATAACAAGTGATTGCAAAGACCATGGCCTGTATCAGACACACCTTAGGTCTCCAGAGACACACCATTGCTCTTCAGTGCCCTGGAGAGGTCCCTAACAGCTGACTTTCCCATCGCAATAGGTTTTTTTATTTCCTGGCTGCTGGTGCCAAGAGTGTTGACCGTGGAGCCAAGCAAACTAAAGTTAACAATCTCAATCTCTTCACCATCCATCCTGATGCTGCCAATTGGTCCAGTGGTGAGAATCTTTGTCTTCTTGACATTGAGCTTCAATCCATAATGAAGGCTGCAGTCCTTGACCCTCTGCAGCAAGTGCATCAGGTCCTCCTCAGTTTCAGCAAGCAGGGTTGTGTCATCTGCATAACGCAGATTGTTAATAGATTTTCTACCAATCCTGATGCCACACTTCTCCTCATAGAGCCCAGCCTCTCGGATAATCTGTTCTGCATACAGGCTGACAAGGTATGGAGATAGGACACATCTCTGGCGTACACCTTTCCCAATTTTGAACCATGCAGTGTTTCCCTGCTCTGTTCTGACTACTGCCTCTTGGTCCAAGTATAGGTTTTGCATTAGCATGATCAAGTGTTCTGTTGTTATGTGACATCAGGTCGCTTGTGACTCTATTCACAACAGACCTAAACCCTGCTCTATCCTGTGTCAACCTCATTGTGTTTGATGCACCTACCCTCACAACCCCAGTCACTGATCAATGCATCTCATCAAGGGTCTTCCTTTCTTGTACTGTCCCTCCACCCTTCCAAGCATGATATTCCTTTCCAAGGACCGGTCCCTCCTTACAACACGTTCAAAGTAAGTCAGATGAAGCTTCAGAATCCTTGCCTTCAAGAAGCAACCTGGTTTGACCCTCTATGGTACATTTGATACTCTTTTCCAGCACGACAGCTCAAAGGCATCAATTATCCTTCTATCATCCCTAGTCATTGTCCAGCTTTCTGATGCATAGCAAGTAATTGCAAAGACTCTGGCCTGGATCGGGCACATCTTAGTTTCCAGACTGATATCGTTGCTCTTCAGTACTCTGGAGAGTTCCCTGACAGCAGACTTTCCCAGTGTAATTTGTCCTTTGATTTCCTGGCTCCTAGTACCAAGAGTGTTGATTGTGAAGCCAAGCAAACTAAAGCTGTTAACAATTTCAATTTCTTCATTGTCTATCATGATGCTGCCAATCCGCCCAGTGGTGAGAATCTTTGTTTTCTTGATGTTGAGCTTCCATCCATATTGAAGTCTATAGTTGTTGACCTTCTACAGCAAATGTTTCAGATCCTACTCAGTTTCAGCAAGCAAGTTTGTATCATCTGCATAATACAAGTTGTTGATGAGTCTTCTTCCAGTCCTGATGTCAACTTTCTCCTCATAGAGCCCAACCTTCCTGATGATCTGTTCTCCATATAGATAAGAAAAGTATAAAGATAGGACACATCCCTGTGCTACACCCTTCCCAATTTTGAATCATGCAGTGTTTTCTTGCTCAGCTCTGATGACTACCTCCTGGTCCAAGTATAGGTTTCACATAAGCACAATCAAATGTTCTGGGATTCTCATTCATCTCAGAGTTAGCCACAGTTTATTGTGATCCACACAGTCAAATGCCTTTGCATAGTCAATGAAACACAGATATTCCTCTGGTACTCTTTGCTTTCAGCTGAGATCCATCTAACATTAGCTATAATATCCCTCATACCATGGCCTCTTCAAAACTTAGCTTGCACATCTGGCAGTTCTCTGTTGACGTCTTGCTCCATTTGTTTTTGGATAATTTTCAGCAGAATCTTGCTTGCATGTGATATTAATGATATTGTTTGATATTATAATTTCTGCACTCTGTCAGGTCAACCTTTCTTTGGAATGGGAACAAATATAGATCTCTTCCAGTCAGTTGGCCAGGTGGTTGTCCTCCAGATATTATTATACTGTGGCGAGTTCTGGTAGTCTAGTGGTAAGATGCTGTGCTGCAATCCCAAAGGCATGTAGGCAAAGGCACGCAGTTGGACTCCACCAGCTGCTCTGAGGTGGTAGGATGGATAATCTCCCAGGTGATTAACTGCCTCTGAAAACCCTCTGGAGGGGTCAGCTATGGGTTGGTTCTGACTTGATGTCACACAACCACCACCACTCTATTATAGTTTTCATGCTAGAGTTGGTGGTGCTTGTTGGCAGGAGCTGTTAAGTCAGCACAGACTCATTGCAACAGTAAACACTGTGAAGCAAAACATTACAGCAGAGGAGAGGGGAGATTAAAATTAAGAAACCTGTTAATGCATCACATCCACAAGCCAGTTGATACAAATCTATTTATAATTAACAATACCAAGAGGCATTGGTAATATTGAACTACTCCATTGTGGATGTTTACAAACTAGAACTCAAAGACTTTCTCTAATAAGATTTTTAGCTTTCACCAATCCTCAGATTTCATCATATTTGACAAAAAGCACAGTTAATTCTGTTAAAAAAGAACACAAGTTAAAGACAGCCAGTATCACTGTGGTTGTTTATAAAAAAACTATCTGGAAATTCTGGCCATTGAGTTTGGTGGGAAGTAAAAAATACAATTTCAAATACATAGACATAAAACATTCACAGAGATTTTAAAAATGGCAAGCAATCAAAATGTCAAAATGCAGGGAATGGTTAAAAAATCAGTGTTAATTTTTATTTCAGGAATTATTAAGTCATTAAAAGTGGTAAATGCATTTTAAGATTTTCTGATAGCAAAAAGATACAGTATCATTTCAACCACACAAAGTGTATACATATATAAACACACACATATGCATGCATACGCATTTTTACATACTACACTGGATGGGAATGAGGGAACAACTTAATCAAAATAGTTAAAACTTGGGTTGGTAGATTTGGCAAATTTACATTTTCCTTTCAACATTCTTCTGTTTTTCCAGACTCATAACGAATATTTATAAAAAGTAATAGCTTTTTAGAAAAAGTAAAAAAGTCATGATAATGCCTTGTTGTTGTTGTTAGGTGCCTTCAAGTCACGACTCATAGTGACCCTATGAACAAAAGATCTGAACCTTGTTCTCTCCTGTGCCATCCTCACACTTCCTGACACAGAAGAGCCCATAGCAGTAGTCACTGTGTCAGACCACCTGGTTGAGGATCTTCCTCTCCTTCAGCGACCCTCCACCCTTCCCAGGATCATGT